TATTGACCTCCCATGCCAAATCCGCGGTCAGTAATGTTGCCTCCAAAGATTCCCACCGCCAACTCCTCCAAGGCAGGTCAATTCACTCCCCCCGCAATTCCTCCTCCCCCAAAATTACATTTCCAAGAACCTCCTCGGCCTTCTGCTTGTTCCGGAGGTTGCATTGTTTTACAACCCTGGCTAGTGGCCTCTGACGGGCCGATCTGACTCATGCTGACCTATTCTTTCCTATTGCCGTGAGTTACATAGATCTGTGCCTGCTCCAGAGCTGTGACACGTTTGGGTGCGTGGAATCGGGCAGGGGTCTAACCATTCTGAAGTTACGGCGTCACACATATACTGACATGCTGGACGAGGGAAGGAGGGGTGTCAAAAGGGGAATGTGGATGACCCACCCAGAGCCCGGATGCTGTCAAGGTTCCCCATAACCATTAGGTCTGTGGCTATGCAACCAGCCCGGTTAAGCCACATTGGAGAAACTATTCAGCTGAAGGTAAGAGAGTGTGTGTGGGGGGGAGTGGCTGGTTCTCTTGGTGGTTCTTGTGAGAATACAAGGCACTTTCTCTGGAGACACCCTTTGGCCCATTGGCGCGACCAGAATCCAGGTACAAAGCCCCAATGTAACAGGCTTGGCTGACACACAGTCTACAAAACATGGGAAAAGCTCTGTTTGAGAATCAACCCGCCATCTACCGGGAACAAAGAGAAACACTGGCTAGCAGAGAGTGGCCGAAGCCCCCCGGTTCATGGCCAAATGCTAAAGGGGAAGGCTCTGACCTCTTGATGTATTTGCTGTGACGTGGGTCCCATTGGTGGGTCAGCAGGGAAGCGATGTCCTGTCACTCGTTTCCACCTTTCCCCAATCCCCAAATCTGCACCACTGTCCTCCTCCTCCTCTCAGTTTCATGCAGCCCGGTGAAAAGGGTTGGATCCCATGGGTCTATTCCTCTAGGGGAAGGTAGTTTCCTCCGCTGGCAGAAGCCTTTCCCGACTACCACCGGAAGAAAGCGCTTATGTTGGCAGGATGGATCCGTGAAACCCAACCCACCGTCTGTGGTGGTGGTAGTGGAGCGGAAGCTGAACCATTTCAGTGAGGCAGAGGAGCTGACGGAGGTCCCGTCCCCAAAGCTCTACTGAGTCTAGCTTTCCTAGACGTAGAAAAGAGTGGGACTCATCCCGCCAACACAGGAGTGATGGAGGGGTATCCAGCCTGTCACCTTTCATTGTCTATGCCCAGTTTTGCATGAAGGTTTTGGCAGACACAAAGAACTGGCTCTACAGATCAGACAGATGGGTTCCCAAGAAGGGGGGGGGAGGGCGCCAAACAGAAGGGATTCTGCCACCCTCTCGAAGCTAAGCTGGCATGGAATGAGCATGATCCTGTTGCCCAGGGGAGGCAGAGCTGTCGGCCCTCTCTTGACGCCAGCTGAGCAAGCATTTAAAGTGGCCCTCGGGCACCCCCTTGCCCCCCACCCCAATACTTCTTGGCCTATATACACATGAAACAAGAGCTTCCTTTCCCATATGCGGAGGAGCGGTGGAGGGGGTGGTGGAAGGCGAGGCGGAAGAGCTCCCACAGAGTCCTGGGCAGAGAGGATTCCGAGCGCTTCAGAGACAGGGTGAAGATAAAAAACAAAGTGCGCCCCCTCCTCCACATGCACACCATTTCCCTGGCCGAAGAAAAATAAAAATGGGAGGGCGGGGGGAATATGTATATTATAGCAAAACACGGCTCTTCCACCTTTTGGTCTCAGCGATAGTAATAATCTGGAAAAATTAACGGTAGAAGACAGCACTCTGAAAAAAGGGGCGGGTGGGTAAGGGAATACCCCTAATGTTTTTAGACTGGCAAGTCGGCAAATTTGGAGACTTTGGGCTTCGTTGTCGAAAGAGAGAGCAGTTCTCAAAGGATCTGTTGTTCAGTCCTATCCTACCCCCCCTCCCCAAATGCCCCGTACCTCCTTAGGGGATAGTCAGCGTAAAGGGGAGGAAATCCTCCCCCTTTCCAAATTACCAGGATTGTCACACTCCCAGCTCAGAGAGGGAGCAGCGCACAGATTCCAGGTCTCTTGCTGAGAATGGAAAAAGGGAAATGGGAGCCACTGGAGAAAGGCATGCGTAAATGGGGGGGGGGATGCAGGATCCACAGCAGTCCTGGAACCTTGCAGGCGCTTGGCCCGTCTCCAACACTAGCCTGTGGGGGAACTCGTCTTGCGCCTGATCCAGTCCCCTTAGCAAACGCCAAACCATAAAGCAGGGGAGAGGTCCCGGGGAATGGAAAACTACATGCGGTGCAATACAATCTCATGCCAATATCGCCCGTCACGTGGAAGGCACCAACTTGGCCCCGTCTGGCTGAATGGGGACACACACACCCTTCCCCACGCCACCCCTAACGCGAACACACCCACATTTAACCAGTCTTTCAGGAGAAGCTACGACAGAACAGACCTGGGCTTTTTCCCGTTCTGTGCGCTATGCACAGTTGGACGAGGGAGTCAGGGCAGGACACTTTCCCAGAGCCCAATTGGTCAGCTCCACAAATCCACACCCGTTTTGGGGGCCTACACAGTGTAACGGGCCCATTTCTTGGGCATCCGGGAGTGGGAGGAGAAAGTCTTTGGGGGGGGGACCAGGGCTTGGCCCCTTCTGGCAGTGGCTGTGCTGGAACAGGGAAGGGGAACAGTCAAGGAGAACCGTGACAAAACTGTGCCCATGTCTGCAACCTCCCAGCCCTCGCCAACGATGATAAGTCCAGCTAGTTCTTCCCTTTCCCCGCAGGTGCCCACACATGAGCCCTGTTTGAGCACCACCTCCCCAAGAGGGTCTCGATTAATGGGGCCAGAATACCTGCACTTGCTTGGTCCCTTCCGAGATGCCCTGGTTGGTGGGGCATCTAATCGCGTGCCACCTGCTCGCTGCTCTCTAACTGATCCAGGGGCCACTTAGCCACCCCTCGCTGACGTTATCGTTTCCCTCCGCTGGCCTTTGTGCCCATCCCCGACTACGGCCCCTTCCCCATCAAAGCACAAAGCAGATTTAATCGGGGGATGGGGTGGGAAGGTGAGCAGGCTCCTCCCCCCATCCAAGAACTCCATTGTTCACCTGAATTTTGCCAAGCTGTCCATTAATTCAGACTCTCTTTGGGATCTCTGAACTCCCCTAGGAAGCACTGTTCCTCGAGACAGCTGGACTGTGACGTCTCCAAAAGGGGGCTGGCTACGGGGAACATTGTTTTGTCCACAGCAGGAGCACCAGGAAGATCCCCGAAGGGGTTCCCGTGCAATTCTCGAGGGAGACACAGATCAAGTGAGCATATCCTCCACAGCAGGGGGGTAAGCGGTCCACTGCTCTCCCCTCAGAGGCGCCAACCGAGGACTTTCCCTTTTACTGCATTCAATTCTAGTTCTCGTTGACTGATTGACTTGGGGGGGCTGAGGGGACTTGGATTGATGATGTCCAATTCTGTTCCGGGTATGGTGGCACCACCGCTATAGGACCCCCTCCATGAAGCTTGTGTCCAGGTGCTGGATCAGCACCCGGATGAAGGACATTTCCTTGCGGGTGTTCTCGAAAATGATGCGCGGGTCGTCCGACTGGCAGCGCAGGCAGTTGGGGGCCATCACCATGGCCAAGTTGTTGACGTCCATCTTGGTGACGGCCACATTGGCCGGCTGCACAAACACCTGTCAGGGAGGGCAAAGGAAATACATTACTCTCGGCAAAGGAAGAGCAATCACAATGCAGAAAAGTTCCAGAAAAGACGAAAATGGCTTTATTGGCGAAAAGTTCCAGAAAAGACGAAAATGGCTGATCAAGTGCCAACATTATCCACCGTGATGAAGATATGCTTGCAGACCTATCCTCCTGAAGACCTAAATTTATATTTTGCATTTATATTTTATATTGCAACAGCCAACGGCCATATACAATAAACTTACTTACTACTACTACTATCCTCCTGAAGATCTCCACGGAGATCTTCTCCAAAGAGCAAG